CGCCCTCCCCCAAGCTAGCGTTTCCTGAAATACTGGTAGCACTTGTTGGTCCCAGCAACCTGACCAAAAGGAGCCCATGCCAACAATCGCCCAGCTACGCGCCGAGATCGATCGGTTGAACCAAGCGATGGCTGGCCGCACGAAAGTGCCGAACCATCTGCCCAAGTTCACGGGCAAGAGGGGGGAAGACGTCCGCGAATGGCTGTTCCAGATCGAGAATGCCTGCCACATCAACAACATTCCAATTGAAGGCACGAGCGCGCGTCTTCCTGGAATCGCCGGATCGACAATGTAAAAGCCGGCGTCCGGATGGTTCCTGCACTGGTCTTCGACAACTCGAGCGGAGGAGCACACGTGGGGGATTTTACGTGGGCATGTGCTCCAACACTTCGAAGCGTCGAATTACCAGTCTGTCCTGCGTGAGAAGCGTCAACGCCTCAAGCAGACAACGGACATCGAGACCTACAACGGCGAGTATTCAGCCTTAATCTTCCGAGTCGAATGAATGAGCGTGTTTGACCAAGTACTGTACTACGCGAACGGTCTCAAGCCGCGCACGCGTAGCTACGTCAAGCTCGAGAACCCAGAGACCCTGAGCGACGCAATGGACCTTGCTGTCAAGTACGAGGTGACACACTTCGTCGACGATTCGCGCGAACGTTACACTCGTCAAGACAAGCGGAAGTCGTCCACTGATCAAGCGCCGAGTCACGACAAGTCGTTCAAGGGAAAAGCGTTTCGTGTTCAAGGGTGTTTCAAGCCGAAGACTAACCCGAAACGAGCCGAAGGTCGTACCTGTTTCCACTGCAAGAAACCTGGCCACATCAAGGCCAACTGCTTCCTTTGGAAGAAGGAGCAAGAAAAGCAGGGAAACGGGCAACCACGTCAGTGAATGAGGGTCCTGTCGTAGAGGAGAACATAGCCGGATGAGTTAAGTTTGAGAATATCAGCCTTAACGTTCTGTGCGAAAACCCTCTCGTGTACAAATCACGTCCACTGTTCTCCTTCGAGGGGGAAATCACCGTTAGTGGCGCGGCCATTTCGACCCAATGAATGTTGTTGGACTGTGGAGCAACCACAATCAACGTGTCCAGACAGTGGGTCAAGAAACATCGACTCAAGACCACGAAGTTCAATGATAAGAACATTCGTGTGAAACTTGGAGACAACCAGATTGTCGAGACGGAACTGGAGGTACTTCCCCTCGAAATCACGGTGTCTGGGTTGGACGAGGCGTACAAGTGTATTGCTGTCGTCTACGCCATACTCGACGAATTCGACTGCATCCTTGGAATCCCATTCTTCAAGGATACGCAGCCGCAGATCCACTGGAGAGGTCGACGTATCGAAGGAACGCAAGTGAAGACTCTCCATTGGAAACAAACAGGGAAGACCTGTGGACCGATCGAGGAAGGCGGACCGGTGATTGCCTCCGGGCTTCGGAGATCTGTCGAGGCGAAAGGCCTATCGGCGAAAAGACCCGATTCCTGTCGAGGTGCCGCGCTGGAAACGGATGTGAAGTCCGCGGTTGAAACTGTTTGCGACGCAAAACAGAAAGAGAGCCGAAGAGTTGTTTGCGAACAACCTGGAGACGCGTCAGCCAGCAAGGGTTCGGCGGTGAAGGACAACTTGGAATTGTCGAAACGCGACGGTACTGTAAGATAGGCTGGAGATAGCAGCA